ATAGAGAAAACTATTGAGAAACATGAGGTCTTCTACAATGCTTAACTTGCTCATCTTTGTCATCTTAACATGCCCAATTGCTACAATAGCGATTTCATGTCCGTTCACTACAAAATGGAATGTTAGCGTTATTAGTGGTGTCCCTAACAATCTTGTTGTTCACATCAAATCAGGAGATGATGATCTTGGGAATCATACTATTCCATTCGTTGGAGATTACAGTTGGTCTTTTTGTGAAAAGGTTGGTGGTCACACTCTTTTTTATGGTTACTTCTGGTGGGGTTCAAAAATTCAGAGCTTAGATTTGTTTGACGAAGCCATTTCAAAAAAATGCTATTTTAATGTGGGTACCGAACATTGTTACTGGTTTGTAACACCTAAAGGGTTTTATGTAAATGCACACCCAAGTGGAGGTGGGGAGTTCATTAAACATTGGGATTAAAAACAAGTATATATGTCATGTTTTTCCTATTGTAGCTTGAAATAATATATGATGCAACTTGATTGACCACATTAGGATGCTATATACGTGTTCATTTCTCTTGTCACTACATATGCACATGTTTATAATACTGCTTTATTTGTTACAATTTACCAACACAAGTTCTTTATAACGAATGTTTGAATAGTTTAAAAAAAAACTCTAAAACACATAGTTTCTTCTCTTTTCCACATGAAAATATTACAAAAAAAAATGTGAGAAAAACTAAACGACTAAACAACCAATCAGGAAGTTATGCCAAAAACAAGAGAAGATACAGCCTGTGAAGGAGGTAAAACAGAGTTGATTAATGATTAGTTTCATTACATAAAAGAAAAATAGAAAATAAAATATGTAGTAGTTGTAGGAAGCTAGAATAGGGGGCTGTGCGCACTCTCTTCTACATTGAAAAGAGGGATAATGACTTAAAAGGGTAATATATAATTTGATTTGTACACATTTAGTCACTGACTTTTTTTTTTCTTTCACATTTGCCCCTTTAACTTGTTAAACTGTACATATTTAGTCCTTATGACCAGCTACTCCAGGTTAGCCGGTAAAAATGACTTAATAGGGTAATATATTTCTCACTTTGTACACATTTAATCCTTAATATTTTTGTACACATTTAGTCCTTAATATTTCTTTTTGTTGCAAAATAAGTCATTTTTGTTTTTGTACTCATTCAGTACTTATGAATAGTTTATTTAGGTTTTTCTCGCGACATCTTATGTGGGATAGCCATATGGTGGTGGGATAGGTTGAGGTGGTCCTGCTATAGGCTATAGGCCAAGATACCTAGTGCGGGTCGGCTGTAAGCCGTAGGCACGGAGGCTCGAGAAGAGCGATTGGGTTAAGGCGTCATGCTGACAAACCCTAGGTATTCCAGTCCGATGACTGATTGGACCTGTTGCATGTTGGCATTCCAGTCCGATGACCAATTAGGCCAAGATATTCCAATATGATGAGTGTGGGCCCGTTATGCATTATAATACGTTTGTTGTATCGGGTATTTTGGGGGAAACTCACTAAACTTTGTACTTACTCGGTTGTTTATGTTTTCAGGTTCTATCGTTGATCGTGGGAAGGAGAAGGCATGACTGTACACACTCATTAACAGTATTGAGGATTCCGCGTTTCTTATATTACTCATCAACAACCTCACACACTTCATCAATGATTGTCCCACATTCATAAGTACTGAATGAGTACGAAAACAAAAATGACTTATTTTGAAACAAAAAAATATTAAGGACTAAATGTGTACAAAATGAGAAATATATATTACCCTATTAATTCATTTTTCCCGGCTAACCTGGAGTAACCGGTCATAAGGACTGAATGTGTACAGTTTAACAAGTTGAAGGGGTAAATGTGGACGAAAAAAAAACTCAGTGACCAAATGTGTACAAATCGAAAAATATATTACCCTTTTAAGTCATTATCCCTTGAAAAGATTAAGTGATAGCGCACGGTGAGTTACTTTACTGCATAATCATATCATATTTGTTAATATATTAACATTGAATTTATTATATATGCATGATTAATGTTAACTAGTGGAATCATATCATATCATAGCCACATTCATATTTTGCGTCCTATACAACAGAAAAAGTAATACAACAGGTTAGATTTTTTATACATACTATTAGACAATATATGTGTTTTTTTTAATATTAGATCTGGAATCTCTTCATCTTCTATGCATGTGTTTGTGTGTGTATTTTTTTGTTGTGTTTCATTAAATAGCACGTTTATTAGCTATTATTAAAACACTGATATAATGAAATACTAAAACCCTAACGTTTTAAGCCCAAACTATATCGCAATTTATGGTTTTATCCAATGTTTTCTTTACATGAATACATGAAGTTTTCTTATAAGAATTTTATTTTCTGCATTTGTAACTATAATTCCGAAAACGCCCCCTGTTCTGTAACTTATGTTTCTGCCATAGTTTCCAGCACTTAAACGATACCTGCATGATAAATTGTTATTCTAGTTTCAGGTGTCATTAGCTAAGTCCCCCAACCTATTTTTGATAAGTTTTTTTCCGAAAATGCCCTTCTACCCTTTTGATAAGTTTTTTCCAGTAAATTCAGTGTTTTTGGTGTATACAAACAAAATCACTGATTTCAACAATTTAACAAATTAAACGCAATCAATTTTGTAATTTACCTAATTTGTTTATATGTTTGATGCATTTGTTCTTACTTTATAAGAAAAACCAAAAGTGCATTGCTATTTATGGTTTTATTCAATGTATTGGTTACAAATGCATCAAATATCGTGTGTCATTTGTCATATGCGTTACACTTTCTTAAGTAATCATTTATGTAATCATATCCAATCAACTCTAAAGATTGAAGCTTGTGAAGTTGACTGAAAGTGGTTATGCTAAGTCAAGTGAGACAAAAGTGGCGTCGAGGGTGGTTTCACTTAAAAAAAGGGAATGGAGATTGTGTGAAAAAATCATCGCATCTACATACACTTTTGGGTTATATGGAAGCAATTCACGTAAAGGTTGAACTGACAGGTTTTTTATGAATTCCAAGATGTGACCATGTGATCGTTTCTAATATTTCACCTGTGGTTCCATAATGAAAGCTGAGTTTTCTGGATTCAATTTTTTGATCTTGACTATGTTTCTTTCTTTTCCTGTCAATTTCAATCCTCTCGTTTGATCATAATCAAGATAACAATGATGATGATGATCTAAAACACGATAAGAAGTTAACAACTCTTGGTCTTTATGTGAATTTTATGTATATTAACATGAAACTTGATAGGAGAGACATAAATTGTGTAGCTAAGCATAAGTAATCTGTGAATGGAAAAGCGTAAAATAGTAAAACATCAAAGATATCGAAAAAATAAAATAAGAATCAAGATAAAAAAAAATCACCAATAGGCTTCATGTGAAAGTGTGTCTTTCTTAACTTTTTAACCACATTTGAACATAACTAAAATTGGAAATTGTCACATATAAGTTGACGATAATAACCAACGAAAGATGAAATAAATCGATGATTTATTCACTCAGTGACATCATCCAATGCCTACCATTATGAAGTATTCGAACTAGCCATAGAATGTTTGTCCAATATTAAAGTGAAACTAAAATTACGTTAAATTGCCTTGATAGTTCGTTAGTGTGCAGTAAGTTAAATGGAACGCAATATTCCATTTACATAATATTCTGGAAGAATCGAATAGAATTGGAATTGAAGATTCCATTCCATGGCAGGTTTGGTTGTGAAATGGAACGCAATACTTCAATTCCTTTGAAATCCTTATACTTCATCAATGGGCTTCACTTTCACCATTTCGTCCAAGTTTGGAAGGAATTCAATTCCTTTACTTCACTTATTTTGTCAAACAACCAAACTACCTCATTATACGTATCAAAAAATATGAAGTTAATTTATTTCATAATACCGATTCCAATTCCTTTAGTCAAACATAGTGATAATCACATACCTAAATGGTTGTTTGACATTCAGGTTCCCATATGAACCGAATTCTCTGTTCTTCAAATATCTCCAGTGAAATCAAAATTCATATGTGTCCACACATCATTAAAAAAATATATGAATCCCACATATCACAACATTTATGAGAATAAAACAACAAATAAAAGGTAAAAGAAATTGACCGAAATGACGATAGTTAGCAAACCTAAAGAACTATGTGTTGACCGTTAATCAAGAGTTGTCGACGGTGTGTGGGTGGTCTAAGAAAGAAAAGAAACACCTTTGTAGCAGGTGTTGGTAGAGTTAGAAAACTTGGTCACAATTGATTTCCATTGTACGTTTTTGTTACCTAAGTGTGTCAAGTGAGAGGAAGAAGAAACATTGTATCACCAGGAAACAAAAGTTGGCGCCATCTAGTGCTCGAATGGTTCTATCAGCCAGTTTCAAGTCAAGACCTCTGAGCAGTTGTTCCATTATTTGAAGGGATACAGAAGGGGCGATTAGTATGAATCATGGATTTGAAGATCGGCGGTGGCGTGATTGCTGATCGGTGATGGCGATGGAAAGAAAGTTTCATCAACTTCAGAGATGCAATTAAACAACCGATAGTGGAACGCAGTCATAGCACCAATTTAGGGTTCGACAGTAAAATTATGGGGTAATCAAAGTACACCGTACTTACATGGAATAGGTTTTTCAATGATAAAACTACAATTTAAAGAATTTAAGGAAAGACGCTGAGAAAGTGGGATTCGTCCACGATCGAAAGAGATACATCCGTTGGTTTTAGGGTGTATCGATCGAAATAGAGAAAGAGACATTTGATTGGAAGCATAGGAGGTGAGAGCAGGCAAGCGATCAGTATTGGCAGGGACTAAATTTGCCAATCTCTAAAACTTTTATGGCTAAATTCTGTAAAGACATAAACATCACTATTCCTCAAGCTCTAGTGAATATATATATATATATATATATATATATATATATATATATATATATATATATATATATATATATATATATATATATATATATATATTTAACATCCTTAATTCGCGTAATTTGAGTTTTAAAATCCCTTAAAAAGGTACGCTATCAATCTCACACCCTTAAACCTAAGTTAATCTCGCATCCTTCAACACCGCCTTCCTCGGCCACCATCGCACCAGCCACTAGCACTGCCATCTACCATCGGCTCCCTATTTAACCTTGAATCAACCTTGACCTAAACATTATCCTCAAATCCGGTGACCTAAACATCATCCAGTTTCTTCCTGTGTGGACAATATCCATCATCACCAGTAGCACCCCTGCCGACGACCTTCACGATTTCAGGGGTTTGTAGAGAGAGGGTTACAAATCGGGGGTTTAGGAAGGTGATAATTATTCTTCATAAATGAAATATGTAAAGTTATGCTACTCTACTACTGGTGAGTTTTTCATATCCTCTTCACCTTCTTGAACGTGTTTGTTCTTCTGATTCTTGTATGTTGCTTGACTTTGATGGTGATGCTTTTTTTCAGTTCTATTGTATTATTCTATACCGATGTTGTTTCATTGTATGAGCAATTTCAATAATTTGTATTGAACCGAAATGGTGCTTCCCGATTTTCCTGAAAGTTTTCACAGGTAATTCCGTAATGGTGAAATGATTGAATAAAGCGGGTCAATGGTGAAGATGATGGCTAAAAACCGGCTCAGAATGCTCTCCGCTTATTTGGGTCAAAAGAATATCTTTAGGAGTCGGGTTTGAAACACTATGCTAAGCTTCGATCCCCAGCACTCTTCACTCTTCAGTTGTGTCAATTATGTCTCCCCTACAATACGAACTATGCCAAACTCATCATCTTCTTTTTCCTCTTTTCCGGAGGTAAGAATTTCAATCAGATTTTCTCTTTTTGTTCTGTCTCTTATTCTCTTACCTTATTTTCACATCCAACATTGTTTTTTTAAGTTTTGTACGTATTTCTGTCAATGGTTGTGGTTCTCCAAGATCTACATATTCAGTTATAAAATCCATAAAGAAAGTATTTCAAGAAGTACGTCCATTTGCCTTTCCCTTTCACCCACTTCTTGTGATTATAAGCTGTTGTAAACAGGTTTTTCAATTTTGAACACGTGGTTTTATTTTTGTGTAATGATCTGGTTTAATCTTTTAATTTACATCTTTTATTCTACATTTTTTTCTCATTTTTTGTGTGAAATTTGTGTTAGGCTTTTTACCAGGTGGTAGAGTTAGGGCTCCAAGTAAAATACCAAAAATCAACGACAGGTAGCTTTTAACTTTGAATCTACTGATCTTGACTGTACCATGAATGAATGTGAATGGAATTTAAACAATGCTTTTGATAGAAACTGTGATTGTGAACTTTGATTGGCCTTTGATTTGTTCAAGTAACTCTAAATTTATCGATCTTGGAAGCTTTTACTGATCTTGGTATGCTTTTAAAGAAAACTATGATTTTGTTTTACAGTGAACTTGATGAAAGAACTATAGATTCAAGAGAAATGGTAGTATCTTGAACTTGATCACTAAAAATTGATTGACAAATTGTAAACATGATCCAATAACGTTTGGATCTAAATTCTGATCTTTTGATAGCTGTTAGAAACAGCTTTGTCATTTGCAGGTTTAAAACGAGAAATAAAAAATAACAGAAAATGAGAAGTTGATCGAGGTTTAAAAGAAAGGAGTTAAAGGACGTTAGAGAAAATGACTTGAAATCCAACTTTTAACCAATTGTGGGGAGTTTCTGATTCATGAATTTGATAGTTTTATACCTTTATATGCATGTCAGGTCAATGAGCACTATTCTGAATTTGCATATGTTTCTGGTTGTTTACAACAGGTCAAACAAGACTTAAAGTTCAAAGAAAGTTTTAAATCCATCCAAGTTGATTTTTTTTTGTTTCCTAGAATGATGATGGATAAATGGAATCTAGAAATGTGGTTCTTTGATCTCCCAGCTTTTCAGTCATAAAGTTTTACATATGTACTTTCTGTATCAAGATTCTTGACATGGTTTAGAGATTTTGAATGTTACCAAGCTTTTTTATATCATAAAGCTTGACTTAGGGTTGGTATAATATTATTGTAATTAATATATTTATTTTTAGAGTATTCATAACATAGATGAAGATTTTCCTGATTTAGAAAGATACAAATGTAAAATTTGATAACGAGGCAATTGACTTTCTTTATTTATGCTGTACCATATCTCTTTTTACTGTTCAGTTTATCCCTTTTGAAAGAAGTAATTTTTATTTGATTCTTATTGTATATAATCATTTATTTCTTTTAATAAATGATAATTACTAATAATGAAACATTCATATATTAAAAAATTTGTATACATTAAAAATTAGATACATTGGTTCATAGAAAGTGGTCTGACTGAAAACGTGGACTCAATCAAGTGGTAAAATTAGTGTCAAAGCTAGAAAAAAGCATGGTTAATAAAATCTTACATGATCATTAAATGCTTTTTTAGTTAAAAATATGTTTTCATATGTAAAACTGGTAACTTAAAAAAAAATTAAAAATTTGAAATAACCTAAATAAAACAAGTTGAATAAGTTGAATTTTGTATTCCCAAGTTAATTTTAAAAATTGTATTATACTATTAGTGATTTAGTGTTTAAGTATTTATAAGAGGTTTTAATCATTTTATTATATTTTGTAGGATATAAAACCATTATAAAATAATAATACATGTTAATATACGTCAGTGTTACTGATTTTTATGTCAGTGATTATTATTATTATTATTATTATTATTATTATTTAATGAGAATACACAAAATTTGTCAAAAAAAAAAAAATTATGTTTAGAGCTAAACAATATACTATTTTCTCAGATTATATACAATGTTTTAATAATTTTGCCTTGAAATAAAATGTTGTAATAAATTATAATTGTCATATAAAAATAATACAAATATATTAACAATTACTATGAAACCTATCCAACAAGTCATGAAAACAACACAAGCAAAAAATAATTCCAATGGACGAAAATATGTTATGACAATAAATACATGAAGAAATGTTTTTGAAAGTCTTTAAATTTGTGAAAACATTATGATTTTGTTCCTACCATGATTTTAGGTTTGTTAATGTCTAAATTTTATCAATTTTTTTCCCTTAAGTTTATAAATTTACTAAAAAGATTCTTAAGATTCCAAATCTTTTATGCTTTTACCCGAATAATGTTCTCCAAATTTGACATGAAAGTCTTTAACTTTTATAAGCTTTATCGGTTTCGTCGCTTAAAACTTACTATTAGGGTTTAGGGTTTAGAGGCATCAAGAACAAAAGCTAATAGTTCTTCGAAACAATCTGAAAGCAAATCAAAATTAGAAGCCACACCACCTATTTAAGAATGGTTAATTTAAATCAGTTTCGGTTAATTTTTCGGTCATTATACTCACTTAAACTAATTGTATTTAGTTGTTCATGTTAATAAGAAAAATGATCCCAATCAGAAGGTTTTTTTGTAACATGTATACAAAGAAAATTAATTGTAGAATAGAAATTATCTGCTGACCGGTAAAATAAACTATTCGTTAACCGTTGAAAAGAAAATGATCACTGGATGTCGAATTTTTAACCAGAAAAAGTACTACTCGCCGAAATAAACTATCCCGTGCCGCCGCATCGCACGGGTATCCTACTAGTATATATATATATGAAGGGTTATTTGGAAAAAAAAAAACCCTAAAAATGCATAAAAAAAATACTTAGAGATCACAAAACATTTTTTTGACATTTTTTATGAAAAAATCGCAGGTTTTTAAAGAAATTTTCAGCGAATTTTAATAAAAAGCTGCGATTTTTTATTAAAAAAAATTCAAAAAAAAGTTTTGTGATCTTTAAGTATTTTTTTTATGCATTTTTATGATTTTTGGGGTTTTTTTAGGGTTTTTTGTTTTCCATAGAACCTAAACCTATATATATATATATATATATATATATATATATATATATATATATATATATATATATATATATATATATATATATATATAGGAGTAGGATAAAATGAGAACACCTAAAAGGTTGAGAACGCGAGAACAGATCATAACCTTCTAAATAATTAGATCTAGGGCTATTAATAATCGGGTCATTTATGTAAATTATAAAACTGACGGGTTAAATATATAACTTTGAAATGGTGATAAGGGTATAATAGGAAATCCAAATAATACAAATAAATGGCAATTTCTATAATTTAGGTATGATATTAAATTGGATCGTTGTTTCTCTCAATTTCAATACATACTAAACCCTAATCTATTTGATTTTTTTATTACCGGCCGCACACCCCCATCTTTTTCACATTATGCCGCCATTGCCATCGATGTTCATATCTCACCACCGCCTGCCTTCATCCTTTTTTTCCAGCCTTCATCATTGATCGGAGGAGAATAGATTTTGAAACAAAAAAAGAAGCAGGAAAACAATCACCACCATTGTTGTGCGCCGTCATCATCACTCGCTGCCACTACCACTGGCCACCTTTGAACAACCACCACCACCCAAGACGTATCCGTTCACCTCCGCCGCACCTATGGTTTGCCTTCTCCACCTCCCCGATCGATCTTCAAAATCATCACCGAATTCCCCTTTGTTCTTGATGCTTAAATCTTAGTTTTGACAAAGTTTCGTCATGTGAATAAGTTGCAGATTGGATTCACGGTAATCAGATTCACGTTCTTGATGCTTAAATCGTAGTTTTGACAAGCGCCCCAGAAAGTCTCCCCGGTTCGCCACTTTCATTTTAACTTGCCTTGTTCTTCATTTTTCTAGGTGAATTGCAGACCATTATTCTTCATTTACACATCAACCCTATATTTCTTTGTTTAAATTCATCTCATACCAACCCTTATAATTGATGGAAGAGATAGCCATACGAAGCTGTAATCAGATTCAAAGTAAAAAAGTTATGCACAGAAGCTGTTTGATGAAATGTGTGAGAGAGGTATTCATTTGTGAATACCAGGGTATTCATTTTGTTAATAGAAATGTATTCATTTGCGAATAGCAGTGAGATCATGTGTGAATGAGTGTATTTAGTTATGATTAGAGGTATTCTTTTATTCATTTGTGAAGCATGGTATTCATTTGTTAATAGCAATGTATTCGTTTGTGAATAGCAGTGTAATCACGTGTGAATGTGTGTATTTATTTATGAATAGAGATATTCTTTTATGAAGAAATGATAATTTTTACACTCATTTTATTTCAGTTTATTAAAAAAAAGAATTTGATTAATTATAAATTGATGTGCATTCATTTATGATTGGAGTAGTATCAGGTTTTTTGAAAAAAAATCATTTATGAATACAAATGTAATGATTTCGGGTTTGATTTCTAGTAATTTTTTGAAAAAAAAACATGAAATCGGAGAATTTTTATTTTGAAGAAAAAAATTTTAATTTTTTTTTAGTTTTAAATTTTTTCTTGATAAAAATGTTTTCTATATTCTATTAATATGAAAAGTAAAAAATCAAATATTTCTTTCTTTTTTGGTAACTGATCCTAAATTTAAGGGAATCTGATTGATTTTTTTTTATTTTAATTTAATTAAAATATACAATTATTAATATGCCCTTATATATTGATTGGTCCAGATTTGTTCTCGCGTTCTCAACCTTTTAGGTGTTCTCATTTGATCATTCCCATATATATATATATATATATATATATATATATATATATATATATATATATATATATATATAAAGAAACATATATGCCTAACTCATTTTCATCACCATCATTTTGAAAATCTGGATAAGGGGTAAAGGTAAATCCGATTATTAATTAACTAATTAAATTAAAATTAATGTCTATAATTTTGGTAAGTGGCATTATAGTGAATCCAATATTTATGGTATTGATATGTTATTCCTGCTTCGTCAAATTCATATGCCGCCAGGGTCTCTATTCATAGGCTCGAGAATCTCTCTCTCATCTCCTTATTCTGTCACAACCAGAGTAGTAGAACCATCCCAGACCACCAATGAACAACCAGATTTGAGAATCGTAGAATAATGGTTGTTAAAAGTGCTTGGTGAAAAAACAATTCCCTCTGGCGTGAAATTTCTAAGGTTCGAAAAACCCTCTGATGGAAAAATCTCATATAATTTGAAACCCTAGCACGGTATTTTTAAACTTGCTCCCGTCGTCGTTTTCTTCAATTCATCATTTCGTCTACTTTTATTTCTTCATCAGCAAAAAAAGAGACAATTCTTCCTCCGATTGTAGGTATGTATAACAAAAGAACACCCTGCCATCATTAAAATCAATGGAATCGATATCATAGATGGATGACAGACAAGAACAGTCCCTTCCAAATTTCGATTTCTAATGTTTCTGGTCACTTTATGTGGTATGTTTCATTCAATCCATACTCTTAGTCACATACTGATCATCTTTTTTTAATGCTTAATTATTAATATTGTGAAAATCGGCTATGTACTTACAGTTTGATTGAAGGTGTATCGTGGATGGATTCTGGGTTTGTTTGGCTGTGGGTTTTGGTGTTGGTGTCAATTTCTTTTGAATATGTTTTGATTTATGTTTCTTTCACAGTTTCAAATTCTTTTTGAGTGTGTTGTTTGATTTTCGTATGTATGATATATATCGTTCTTTAGTATTTTTTGTTAAATTGATAACTGTTGAAATATAGGATGTGAACATGTGCAGCAATAGAATAAAAGAAAAATGGTCCAGATCAGTGGTGTAAGTTTTAGGAATAAGGGGATCAAAAGTTGATGGGGTCTCACCTTAGTGGTGAGCCAATGGGCTGCCATTTTGGTGTGAAAGCTAGTAGGGTGTTTGATGAGGAAATGTACACTTCATTACTTTATTTAATAAAATAATGTGTAGTCTTTTTCATGTTTGATCAAATTAGGAGTCTATGAATATAATTGAAGGAAACTGATATTCTTTATTTCTAATTATCAATAATTATAGTATTATATATTAGTATGAGTAGGCTTTAGAAATGATATTTTTGGTTTAAGACTCAAGGTAAATTTTTCTGTCGTTATTTTGATTCTTGAGAGCAAAATGTGTAACAAGATATTGGTGTCGTTTGGAGATCTGAACACAAACAAGGACACATAGGGTACGTTGCAGTTTTCTAGAATTTGGTGGTTGCCTTTCATGTGTGGGATGGATAGTTTTATCGATTTATTTAAGGATGCACACTCGGAAAAAAGGACATTCTTTCAAGAATTGGCCATGTATTCTTTCAAGAATGAAGCATCTAGTAGAATGTTCATTATTTTTATTTAATTTTTTCAAATTTTCAGAAATATTCAATGACTATAGTGTATTCTGTAAAAAATGTAGCTTATATTTTTTTGTAATTCTGTCAAGAACGAAACTTATTCTAATAACAATGTCAAGAATATTTAATTTTTTTTAAAAAACGTTTCTTTTAGAATGTTTGTGTTCTTTTGAAAAAAAAATCTAATTTTTAAAAATATGGATTTGATTATATTTGTTTCCTAAAATAAGGATAGACAAAATGTCCATATTACCCCTCAAACAGAATTGAAATTGAAATTTCTAAAAAAAAAATTAATAATAAATGCAATCGTATTCTTTCAAAAATGATTTTATTTTTCATTGATCCAATGGCTAGGATTTAGTTACACAATTGATGTGAGTTAGATTTTAATCCAGCCCTCTATATATATATATATATATATATATATATAACAAACATAGAAATATGAACTATATACTATAATATTATTGCATAAAATTACACATTTTATTGAAAAACGGTGAAACTAAACATTAACAAATGCAACATTTGGAATCTCAAAAAAAGAAAAAAAACATAATAATTTCTTTGAAAATACAATAAAATAATTAAAAAAATGAAAAAAAGATAAACAATAGTCTGAAATATGAACATTACCCTAGAATTTGGCATTCCGGAGAAAAATGTTTTTTTTCAAAAACTGAAAAGATATGATTGTTTTCTTTAAAATCCTCCTTTATAATTATTAGTTTACTCAATTTCCCTAAATTAAATTTGAATGCTAATCAAATTATTTTTAACAAAAGATCATAGGTCATTGTTTCTTATGCTTAATTTATGTAGTGAATTGAAAAACATATTATATATATATATATATATATATATATATATATATATATATATATATATATATATATATATATATATATATATATATATTTGAAGTTTTGATTTGTGCGGTCGAAATTTTTGAGGTCCGCCTTATTAGCTTTTCAGAATTAACAGACATAATTTTGAAACAAAAAATATGTTTTGTTTTAACTTTTAATCTAGGAAAATTAAGTAATCTGGAAAATTTAAGTAATCTATGTTGGTGATTTTTGTGTTATCAACATATTTTGGTGGAATTACTATTAATAATGAGATAGGATGAGCTCCATTGAATACCGAGATAGGAGGTGCGGTGTGCACACTTGGAGTGATAAATGTGAACTCGAGAGAATACGGGGATCCGGGGGCATCGCCCCTGGGTGCAAGGTTCCAAGGGGCTGCAGCCCCTTGGCGTGGTCTAGGGGCAGCGCCCCTAGCGGGGTCCAAGGGGCAGAGCCCCTGGCAGTGGTATCATGATGATGCCATGAGTTGGTTATGTCTTAATAACCAACGATTTTTGGTGCCAAAGGAGGAAATTCCATTTTAGTACTTTTCCCTCTAGTATAAGAATCTTTTCTCTGTTCCAGAAAAGGGTTAGAACTTACATACATGAAAATCATATATTGATTTGTTCTTCTCTCAAGAACACAAAATAACAATGTACTTTTCTATGTTTCTGATTTAGAAGTGGCTTGACTTCTAATTTGAAATTCCTTGGATTATCCCAAATCTGATTTCGTGATACCCTAGGCTATAGGGTCGAATCATAGATTTTGGAAAGTGATTGCAATCACCATCCAAGAAATATCCAAGTATATTGATATTCTTAAGATCCCAAAATCTAACATTCAAAATTTGTGATTTGCGAGAATATCAATCGCAGAATCTGTTAGAGACATGACTTCTAAATTTAGGAAGTTGGATAAGTTTGAAGGCATTGATTTTCATCGCTGGAAGAAGAAGATGCATTTCCTTCTTACTACCCTGAAAGTTTTTCAGGTTTTGATCACCCCTACACCAGAACTAATGGAGGATGAAACCCTTAAACACACCAGAAGAAGATACAAATGGGAAAATAATAATTACATCTGTCGTAAGCACATTCTAAATAGTATGTATGACTTTCTCTTTGACATCTATCAAAATCAAGAATTTGCAAAAGATATGTGGGATACCCCTGAATCCAAAAATATATGGCAAAGGATGCCTTAAGTAAGAAATTTCTTGTCCATAATTTTAACAATTACAAGATGGTGGATTCAAGACCTATCATGGAACAGTACAATGAACTCATGAGCACTTTGGGCCAATTTGAACAACACAAAATGCAAATGGATGAATCCATTTTTGTCTCAAGTGTTATTGGGATATTACCCCCATCCTGGAAAGACTTTAAACACACACTGAAACACCAAAAGAAGAGTTATCTCTAGTACAAGTTGGCAATCACTTGATAATTGAACAGGGTATTCAGGCTCAAGAAAG